CTTCAAAGATATTTCCTCTATATGTTGTGACCAGTTCAGCCATTCATGTAAACACCCAAAAACTTGGTGTCATGCGATAACTGAAAGGAATTATTAAAAAATGATATATCATTTGGTTTTTCCTCTACTGTTAGTTTGCACGGCGCACGGCTAGTGTAAACCTCAAAGTAAGAATGGGTCAATTGACGGTAAGCCTATGGTGAGAAGCACTTACTGTGCAATCTCTGCTGCAGGTAGCCAGTAATGCAATTGAACCCAAGTTCGTGTTTAATAAACCGTACAAAATACAAATAAAACAGAGCACTGAGTCAGATGCTACAAATGCAATACACAGACGGCTCAAAAACCAAAGAAGGCTCAGGACGTGGAGTTTACTCCAGATCACTAAGCCTAAGGATCAAGTGGGGAATGCAGTCTTGCCCGGATCACCCTGGGCGACTCTAGGAAGCTGGCGCAGAAGAAATATCTAGCGATGACCAGGAAAAACCTACGCTTAACACTAGGATTTCTGACTGGCCACTGTCAACTAAAGAAACACCTTCATATTATGCGGTTGGCAGACACACCTCTATGCAGGATGTGTGAACAGGAAGATGGAACTGTCAGGCATGTCTTATGCGAGTGTCCGGAGTTATCGTCAATAAGAGAGTGTGTGTTCGGAGAGTCTTGACCTACAACAACATTTCAAACTATCTTTGAAAAGTTTCTCATCCGCCATGCCTTTTATTCATTAGACGAGTATAAAAAACGTAGCGACTAGGCAGTTTTGTTTCAATGTATTTCACAAACTTCTTGCTTTGAATGTGAATCCAAAGAGAACAAGAAATACAGAAATCTTCAAAGTACCCTATCATTATACCAACTCTACTTTGAATTTTGAGACTTGCAAACACCTACAATGTGGATTTGGAACTTTTCAATTCTTCTTTAGAATCATTCAAATAGACTTTGAGAAGATTGTAATTGATTGGCTTACTATTGCCTTTCTTTTTTATTTCGATGTTTTTTCCTCACATCTAGCTGATAGTTATAGTACATATTTGTTTATTTGTAAAAGTAAGCAATGCCTTAAATAAATTAATAAACAATTTGCTTGATGTCCATGACCGAAGTGAGGTAGATCTGCCTTCCAACATTCAAATAAAGACTGTCTTATGCAGCAACAATTTCGATAAGGGAGGACTGGATCCTCTGGGAAAAGGAAATAAAAGAGTAGATAATTGCCGGTTCACAAATGGATCAAAAAACCTTCAAGTTGTGGTGCAGGTGCATACTACAGACCCAAAACCGCATTTCAGACTGAAATCCACGCCTCCGATTTATATGTGTGAAGTTTGCCGGAAACAAACCTTACACATAAATCAATGGAATATTCTTGGATAGCCCAGAGTCTTTGGAAACACCTGGTTTTCACCAAACAACATTCAAATTGGTATTGAACTGCTAAACAAACTTTCCTCAATAATCCATAAAAACGGTGTTTTATTCTGTAGTACAATTCCATAAATGAGGCACAAAATTCTCAGAAACGACTGACGTTTTTGTCTTGATCTATCTCTTGCAGTGCCGTACGGAAATTATACTAAACAGATGAGGAAAAATTATGATTCAATATATAGAATCACAATCCGACAACAATGTTTTCATGTTAATGCAATTTTTCTGAGAATTTAGTGCCTAGTAGTATGGAACTATAGTATAAAGCGTGAAAACTGTTTTAATTTAATAGATAACGTTTGAAACACTTGATATGAACTGGTAGTAATATTGAAAATGAAGAGATTAAACGACGTTAAATAATATATTTATTAAAAATGTTGTCCAGAAGTAATTTCGATAAAATCTACTCACCTGTTCCAGAAGTACTTGAATACACTCTAGACAATAACTATGACCGCAAAGTAGTATACTCCAGTGTTGTTCGAGGGCGTTTTTACAAATGGGGCAAGGGTCCGGGCTCTGTCCCTCATACTGTTGCTTCCTGAGAGTTTCCAAATAACTTTGGGTACCTAGAAGTTTCTCCAGGCTGGCGGTATTCATCTTATACTCGTTTTTCAGGGAAGTCATTTGAAAGTCAAGCTTAAATAATAAAAACCTTAAACTTGTTAAAGTGCTTTTTTAATGTCTTTTTACCTCGTGCACACTCAATAAATTAACAAATTCGTTTCTGTTTTCCACCTGATAATTGAGATTCTTAAGAGCTTTGTTGACTTTATTTTGAACTTTGTTGTCTTTCTTCTCGTCATTGACTTCAGTTTTCAGCTGCAATCTCACTTTGCAAATATCTAATTCGTCTTGGGCGCATATCTGCTGATCCAAAAATGTCCACAGCTTACGAAGTTCCTGAATAAGGTCAATTGAACTAACTCAAAATGAACTCCAAGCAAACGTCGTTCGTGCAAAAATATTCTGCACTTGAAATGATTTACTCTCTATTTGAGTTTTTCACTAAACAGTGTACAAAACTACAACTCCGCAACACGTGTTTCACTAAATAGAGAAGCTGTTGTACAGTTACACATTGCGGTTTTGTACACTGTTTAATGAATATATTACAAAGCTTTATTAAATACATTAACATTTTGTGAGGAAACTAGTCGAAACTTGATGAAAATATATGATAACGTATTTATTGTGAGATTTTCACTAAACAGTTTACAAAACTGGAACACGTGTCTCACTATACAACAGCTTCTACAAGTGTATTTGATAATCATCATTATTTTTTGTTTAACCCAGGTCCATAAAAAATCATCTTCTGATAAAGTCAACGAAACATTCTTCAAAAATATTGTTACTGGGATCTAGTGTGTAGAAAAGTGAATTTTATTTTAAATTAATTCTAGGTCAGTTTGGAAATTTCAGGACCCCCCTTGATCTACAATCAACACAATGAATAATTGCAGCTGGAAACAAATTTAATTTTAGCATAAGTAAAAACTGAAGAGTGAGGACTATTTACATAGGATGACGAATAAAATCAATTTATTATTTCATTTAATTATTACCTTGAACTCCTTCTTCAGACACTCGATTATATTAATGTATACTTCACCATCCTGAATGTATTCTGGATTCGAATTTTTGCTTTTTAATAATGCCAGTAGAGCTGAAAAAACAACATCAAAATTACTAGGAATTCAAAAACCAACAGGGTTGATTTCAATGAAAAAAATGAGGCAATGAACAATAATAAGATCTGGCTATCTGTCCTTGGAGGTACACAATCTAGGTCAGGTAATCCAATTAAGCCCACTAATAATGATACAAAACCAGAGTCAAATACCAGATCGTAGTTACAGTTTTTGGAATATCGGGAACAACAACTCGAGCACTGCAACCTTCACCCCATTGCCTCTGATGTCAACCGTAGTAGTACACGAAACGTCAAGCATAAAAACCTGCAGACTGTGGCCAAAAAATCCGGAAAATAGCTTTCACACAGTTATCTTCAATCGTTATTGTTTACATTCTTTGACCAATCCGATTCCCATTTAAAAATTTTTTACACTTATTTTTATATGATTGACATTTCAATTATTGTTCAACCCATTGATTTATAATTTATTCTCGTTTTAGGACACAATCATTTGTTTTGTTTACAAATAAGCATTCTTTCAAGTTTTGCTATTCATTTTTGCTCATTATTTTGACATTATATCATTCAACTAACTCAACCAAATATTTTGGTCCTAGTAATTTTAGTATTTTTCATAGATTCAATGTTCAGTCTTTTTTATTTTATTTGTTCTTCTATAGATTTCAAATCAGTTAACATCTTTTTATACACGGTTTGATCTCTGTTAGGGTATTGATACACGGAATGTTTCTTCTCCGCTTGGGGCTTTGCTCACGAGATGGAGCTGTTACTGGTTTACAATCTTTCTTTTAGACAAAGGTTTCATACATGCAGTTGAGCCGCGTTGAAATTAATCAAGTCCCAGACACTTTGTTGTTTGGGTCGTATCTTTCCTGCACTGATGAGAGGTAATATCTCGAAACCGGTCTGTAGGTGATCTATTTGAATGATTTCAACAAGGTCCTTCTGCTGGATGAAAGAGAAACATCTGCGAAACTAACCTCGATGAGGTATCTCGCATATGTCAGTTGGATTTTATTCAATATTTAACGTGGTATTAGCCGGGGAAGTAGTTGTTTTCCGGCAGGCATTTACCAAAACCTATGGTATAGGTAGTTAGGAGAGATGAATATTTGGAAATTTCATTACAAAATATTAATTTTCTAGTATCTTTTTAGACAATGGAAGTCCAAGCTTGCCAATTTTGATTAAATATGATACATTCGACAAGTACTTATGCAGTTACAAAGGTGTAGTGTTTCTAGAAAAAAAAGTTCTTATTTCCATTATATTAGGTATCTTCAAAAACTTTCTATACTTACACTTCATAATTAACTCTTCCAGAGTGGATTTCCAGCTGCCCTTCAACGACATGTCTTCAAAATTCTTTTCCCTATGAGTCATGCTGAACAGTTTCCCTTCGTACATTTTCAACTGGACGTTAGCTTCACATACGGGACATTTCGCAGCTTGTTTAGATTTCTTTTGTGGCCTCAGATGACAGTTCATCGCTTTGATCACCACTTTGTCTTTGATTATGATCTTATGAATACCTTCAGGAACGTATTCATAGAGCTCATCGATAGCTTCGAAAAGTTTAGACCGCAAATATGATAAGTCATCATCCCAAGAATAAAGTAATTGTAGTATTTTGCGTTCACTTGAACTTCGGAAAATACTGAAATACAGAATTTATATAAAAATTTAAGTAAAAACAACTCATCACAAACTGTTACCATCTGACACCTTATTTAGATTAGAGTACTTTTTTTTGACCATTTTACATACACATTCTTTTATCTATATCTATTTATAGTTCTTTATCTATATCTAATTATATATTTGTATCATATATTATGTATAATGTGTAATTTGGGTGCAAATAAAATTATTATTATTATTTATGGCAAGTCACAAATACAGATATGTTTTCTTACCAACGTTTGCCAAAGTTGCCATTTTCATTGCCATTTTTCAAAAGATATAATGACGATATTATTACTTCCATTCCAAAAAATAAACAATCTAAAATTTTAGAAACTTTTCAAAGATTTCATACAAAACTGAAATTTATTCTTAAAATGAAAAAAAAACAACTTTAGCATTTCTAGACACCACAGTAACCAAAGTAATCAAAGAAATCAAGGACGATTGCCATTTCCAATCCTGAGTTTCATAACGAAAATCTCTAATTAATCGAGAATTACCTAGTAAAAATAATTTTCCAAGAGTCCTTATCAGAAAATAATTGAAGAAAGAAGTTTCTTTTCCTTAAAATAAAAAACTAAAAGACCGCATAAAAAGTGCACAAATTGAACTCTGAAAGCTGTCCCAAATGTGATGTTGGTCAAATCGGACAATATCTCAAAACAAGAGTTTCATAACACATGAGACACTCTAAAAAACTAAATATCAAAAACCCCACAGCCCTTGTAAAATATGAAAAGAACACAAGCTCGGTTTTGACTTTGAAACTCTGACTTTTCTAGATGTTCAACCATATTTATCCCAAAGACTTTTGAGCGAAATATGATGGTGTTAACACTAGAAGGTATGTCAATGGCCTAAATACGGCATATTTCAATTAAATCTATAAAATACCTAAATAATTTTCGTTTTTTTCATTCTAATTTTTCTGTCATTGATAAAGTCAGACACCACCTTATCAGTATCATATCATATATCATATCATATGTCATATCATATCATATCATATATCATATCATATCATATCATATATCATATTCAAAGCCATTCATTTGTTTCGTGTCTTTGTGTAGTGTTGTTGTTATCTCGAAAATGTTATTAACTTACTGTTTTTTATTTTCATCACATATCTAATATGACTGATGTTTCTAAAATAGTTATATTTTCAACCCGAAGAAATCCCATTTTTCCATTTAAACTTTTCTTTTGTCGATTCAAAATTTATACAGCAGAGACTATCATTGAACTGATTAAAATTGCGATTTTCGACATGTAATGAGCAAGAAGTACAGTTTTTATGATTTTTAGAAAGATAACTAACTATATGTATTACGGGTAAAACAAGACTGTATTTTCCTGGTTTGAAATAAGTACATACCAGGCAAAAAATACATTCGTTTATTAATTTACGTTATACTGTTGTATATAATTGTATATAATTGTATATATAATTGTATATAATTTACGTTATACGGCTGGTCATGCTATACTTAATTTTATTAATACTTCTTTACGAACGGGAAAAATTCCACAGGGACTTAAAACCAGTGCTATTATTCCAATCCAAAAAATCAGTAATACTATAAAAGCTGATGAATTCAGACCTATTAATACACTACCAGCCTTAGAAAAAATTTTAGAAATTACTGTTTATAACCAATTGTTGGAATTTATCAATGACAATCAAATCTTATTCGAAAGACAGTCAGGGTTTCGAAAAAACCATTCCTGTGAGTCAGCACTCCAGTTGTCATTAAGTAAATTTAATAATGAACTAGAGCACAACAAATATGTTGTTTCTGTGTTTCTCGATTTGAAAAGGGCTTTTGAGACAATTGATAGAAATATTCTTCTTGCTAAGCTCAAGAGATATGGTGTAGGCGGTCAGACCTTCAATTGGTTTTATGATTATTTGTCTAATAGAAAGCAGAGGGTAAGAATTAACAATACATTTTCAAATGAAATCACAAATGACAAGGGTGTTCCTCAAGGTAGTGTTTTAGGTCCACTGCTTTTCATAATATATCTTAATGATATTAACTTATTTGTGGACTGTGAATTCATAAATCTGTTCGCANGACACCTGTCGGATATAATCCAACGCCCTTCGTGGTATTAGCCAGGGGAGTAGTTGTTTTCTGATAGGTGTCAGTCCATTAACCTACTGTGTAGGGAGATGAGACTGGCCTGAACGAATTTTTCTTAGATAATTTGATTTATAGCCAGTCTTCAAGTATGCCCACTGACTGTATGTGAAAATAAATAATGAGTTCTTTGAAATGAACAGATATTTGGCAAACTCAGCTATGACGTTCATTCCCTGCAATTATTATCTTCACAGGGGCATTTTTAGTGGTCACCTTCTGAAAGGTCACAATTCTTATAAATACAAAGTTTCATCTGATAATTTTTATATTATCATTTGTCATTATGTCATATGTTTGCATTAAAATATAAAGTTTCTCAGTTAATTCAATATATACAGATCGATAAAAATTTGTTCCTAATGCAAAAAATGTCATATTTCCATCAATTACGTTAGTGTTGATTTGACATTTGCCCAATTTATATTCTCAGCGGAGGATTACTAAGGAAGTATTATGGAAACTGTGAAAAAAGCAGTTTGAAGAAAGAGACTCACTTCAGATTACAGGGAACACCAGCCCCATCACAAGATGTTTTGATTCTATCAAGAAGGTTATCGAAATAACCATTTATGAGAGTCCAATCCATTCCATCCGAGTACCACTGGCCATCTTTCAGAGTAAGCTTGTTACGTAATTTTTCCACTTGCATCATCAGCCCACTGAAACTCTCAAAAGCAGTTGTAGACTGAAAGTGAGAAATGGATCAAAATCATATTATTAAAATAAAATGTTCACTTCTTTTCACAATTGATTATTTTTACCTCACTTATAAATTTCTCCATATATTTTTCTTCCAAATCCTTGCAATCGTTTCTCAAATTCCCGTCTCTCAAAGTCGGCTGATCTGGCTTGAAGTTATCCAGTACCTCAGCTAAGTTATATAGCGTGTGTATGACCTGAGGTTTGTCCACTGTTAATTTTATTTCTCCTTGTTCCCCAGAAAACCTGGCAACCAACTGTAAAACAGATCTGTAATAATCTATAGCTCCTTGAGGATGCTGGAAGATGAGCTCAATGCCTGCCAAACCTAAAATCGATTGGGATTGAAAATGATGATGTTAACTTGATGAAACTGTGTTGTGAAAAACTATTCTATTCTAGTATTGTGGATAATTACATTTTATATGGTATTAATGCTCGCAGAATACACTTGAGAAAGCTACTGTGCTAGCGAAACATGTTGTGATTATATTTTTCAAATGAAGTTTGTGGAGATTAAATTGTGAGGTGTAGTTTTTGAAAAAATTGTCTTGAAATCTTTTGATTTTTTTAATTTTCATTTCTTGTTAATAATTTTTAATTTTCATCTCTTTTTAATAGTTCAATTTTTGATTGTTGCTTGTATATTATTAACTCCTTCTTCA